CTAACCACCTGCACCACGCCACTGCCTCCCCCCAAGAACACACTTCTCTCTCACGCTCTCTAGCCCTGCTCCAAGTCAGGCGCCTGATGGTTCAACACATCCTAATGTCTTCTGAACTCCACTGTTACAGAAAGGCAGAAAAAGGGGAAAGACAATGCAAACAATTCCAACAGCGGAATTTCCTACTCACTATCTCCTTAGCATTTTTAAGTGTATTGATCATGTAGGCAATTTAGATCCTTAAATTGGGCCAATAATTAAAGAATTTAAGAAATCCGTATGCTGTGGCAGAAGTATGGTATAGAAGATGGTGACGTAGGTAAACACATTACTTGCCTCCTCCCACAACCACATCAAAATGACAACTAAACTACAGAACAACATCATTCAAAACCGCCTGAAATTGAGCTGAATGGAAGCCCTACAACTATGATATTAAAGAAGCCACATCCGGACTGGTAGGAGGGGCAGAGGCACCGACAGGCTGGTCCCACACCTCTTGATAAAAGCCAGGAGGGATACCTCAGCTGTAAAGATACTCCCTGAGGAGCAAGGGGTCCCTGTGCCACACCAGGCCCCCAGCTCAGGGTTCCAGTGCCATAACTTCTGGTTGTGAAAACCAGCAGGAATTGAGACTGAGGCTTCTGGAGTCCCAGGCAGTTCCTCTTAAAGGGCCTGCACACAGACTTACTGGGACTGCTCCTCCAGGTTCCAGTGTGGGGGAGGTAGCTTAAAAGACACCAGAGACATACTGGGAAGAACTGAGTTGTTTGGCATTGGGACGAGAGCTAGAGAGGCAGCTTTCTGCTGGAGGCCATTGTTCCTTTGGTGAGCCCTTCCCACTTGGGACAGGTGGGTGCCATATCTGGGACTCCATCAACCCAGCTCACACTGTTTGCTCCACCCTGAGACACTGTTCTACCCAACTTTGGGGCCCACCCAAGCTGTTTCCAGTGGCTTTAGCACAGGATTGGCTTGTCTTGGCTCCTGCTTGGTTTTCCTAAAATCTCTCAAACAAGCAGCATCGGGCCTCAGTGAGCCCCATACCGCTCACTAAGTGGCCCCAGGCCTGGCACTAGAAGCAGCCAGCCTTGGTACACAGCTTGGCTTTGCCTGGGGACCTCCAAATCCAGTACAAGCAGCAGCCACCTGCAGATTGCTTTGTAGCTTATGCCTGGTGTCCCTGGGTAGAGCACAGGCAGTGGCTGACCTTGCCCCAGAGCCAGCACACCCAGTGGACAACTTTAAATCACGTCAAAGCACCACCACCAAACCACCTCCATAAACAACACACTTGAGTAGTGGACTCAGTGGGTACCAGAGCCCTGCTGAAGTAAGTCTTGCTCTGTGTGGTGGGCCTCTGCACAGCCCATCCTCCAAGGTAGTCAGAGGTCAGTGGTCAGTGGGCACAGCCAGTCCTTATAGCTGATCAACCTGAATAAATCCCTCCCATTGATGTACCAACAGCAATCAAGACTCAATTCTAATGGAAAAGTGTACAGTCCACATGAGGGATCGCCCAGCTAGAGTGATCGGAGAGGCTGTGCCACTGGGGACCCTACAGAATACCTACTACAACAGGCCACCCTACGAAGCCTAGAAGACATAACAACTCTACCTAATACATAGAAACAAACACAGGGAGGCAGCCAAAATGAGGAGACAAAGAAACATGTCCCAAATGAAAGAACAGAACAAAACTCCAGGAAAATGAAATGGAGGTAAGCAATCTAACAGATGCAGAGTTCAAAACACTGGTTATTAGGCTCAATGAACTTAGCGAGAACCTCAAGAGCATAAAAAAGGAGCAGCCAGAAATGAAGGATGCACTAACTGAAATAAAGAATAATTTACAGGACATCAATAGTAGAGTAGGTGAAACCAAGGAGCAAATCAATTTGGTATACAAGGAAGTAAAAAACATCCAATCAGAACAACAAAAGGAAAAAAGAATCTAAAAAAATGAGGACAGTGTAAGAAGCCTCTAGAACAACTTCAAGTGTACCATCATTCACATCATGGGGGTACCAGAAGAAAAAAGAGAGCAAGAAATTGAAAACCAATTTGAAAAAATAATGACAGAAAACTTCCCTAATTCGGTGAAGGAAATAGACGTACAAGTCCAGGAAGCACAGAGAGCCCCAAACAAGATGAACCCAAAGAGGCCCACACCAGACACATCATAATCAAAATGCAAAAGGTAAAAGACAAAGAGAATCTTATAAGCAGCAAGAGAAAAGCAGTTAGCTACCTTCAAGGGAGCTTCTAAAAGACTGTCAGCTGATTTCCCAAAAGAAACTTTGCAGGCCAGAAGGGAGTGGCAAGAAATACTCAAAGTGATGAAAAGCAATGACCTACAACCAAGATTACTCTATCCTGCAAAGCTGTCATTTAGAATCGATGGCCATATAAAGAGTTTCCCAGACGAGAAAAAGCTAAAGGAGTTCATCACCACCAAACCAGTATTATATGAAATGTTGATGGGTCTTCTTGAAGAAGATAAGACATATGAACAATAAAATGGCAATAAATACATATCTATCAACAATGGAATCTACAAACAAAATGAACAAGCAGAACAGAAACAGACTCATATATAGAGAATTTTTTGTTGGTTGCCTGATGGGAGGGGGGTTGGGGGGAAGGGTAGAAAAGGTAAAGAGATTAAGAAGCACAAATTGGTCGTTAAGAGTGATGGACCTCAAAGGGAAGGGGGTAGGTGGATGGCAAGAGATAATCCAAAGAACTTATATGTATATATGCATAACCAATGGACACAATCAATGGCATAGGGAGGATGGGGGTGGGGAGGAGGGGGATCAATGGAGGAAAAAAGGGGGAACATCTGTAATACATTCAATAATAAAGATAAGTTTTTAAAGAAGAAGTATGGTGTAAATGTCCTTTGACCTTTAAGCACTCCATTATTTTATGTTCTTGGTAATTTTCCTTCTGTTGGTAATTCTGCCTGTTCTTGGTAGTCACTGCTTTATACTATTACTAACACAATTTTTGTGCTGAGTGGATACTTGTTGCAGCAATAGACTGCATGTGCATTTGCTGTCACCTTTTGACCTTAAGACAGTAGTTCCTCCCATCCAAGGTTTTGCTTTCTTCAATTTTAGTTACCTACAGTCAACCTCCATCCAAAAATATTAAATAAAAAATTCCAGAAATAAACAATACATGAGTTTTAAAATGTGCAGCACTTGCGCCATCCCCTTCTACCCAGGACATGAATCATCCCTTTGTCTGGTGTGCCCACAATGCACACCCTACCCACTCATTAGTCACTTAGTAGCCGTCTCAGTTATCAGACAGACTGTCACATTACAGTGTGTGTGCTCATGTCACATTCATGTAACTTTTATCACAGTATATGGTTATAAGCGTTCTATTTTATTACTAGTTATTGTTGTTAATCACTTACTGTGCCTAATTTATAAATGAAACTTCATCACAGGTATGTACATATAAGGAAAAACAGTATACATAGGATTCAGTACTATCCACAGTTTCAGGCATCCACTGGTGCCTGTGGTTTTGGGACAGGGCCCCCACAGATAAGGGGGGACTACTGTATTTGTAATACAGGAATCCTGGCAGCTTTTGACAGGGTGGTGGAAATATGCGTAATGATGAGCAAATATAGGAATGGTTTGGGTAAGACTGAAGGTAAATAGGTAACTTTATGGCCTCTAAAATTTTTTTCATTGTCATATTTCTAGTTAAAAAAAAAAACGAGGTCCATAATTGCAAATGAGACATTAATTTCTCTCTTTTTAAAAAAATTTTATTTTTTATCCTCACCCGAGGACATTTTTCCATTTTTTTTTGTTCAGGTACAGTGGGAGGGAGAGAGAGGAAGAGAGAGAGAGAAACATCGACGTGAAAGGGACAGGACACATCGAGTGGCTACCACCCACACGACCAACCAGGGCCGGGGACAAGCTGCAACCAAGGTACGTGCCTTTAGCGGGAACCGTACCCGGGTCTCTCTGGACCACAGGCCAACACTGCAACCGCTGAGCCAAACCGGCCAGGGCTAATTTCTCTCTTATGAAAAAAACAGTTGATTTCCTTCATGCCCTTAGAAATATGTCACACTCTTTCTCCATATTTACATTAATATCTGCCAAGAATGATTGTTGCTACTCTTTGTTTTATCTTTTGAGGCTCTAGAACAGGGTAACAAACACCTGGCCAAACTTCCTCCTCCCACACTCACTTCTCTACTAGACTGAAGTCGACCTGGAAAAGGAAATCCTGATCTGGAAGATAAGCGCCTGGAACCAGGCACATACCTACTTATTACCTTCAGAATGCCACCTCCTGGCTCGCGGATGCAGGGAGAGGGGAATGTGTGGCTTGAACATGGTGTCCTTTCATTTCCATCCCTCTCTATTTATAGACAGCATTCCAGGTGTGCCCCCTCCTTTTTAACAAATATGTTTTTATTGATTTTTGTGAGAGAGAAACATCAATGTGAGAGAGAAACATCATCGGCTGCCTTCTGCATGACCCCTACTGGGGATCGAGCCTGAAACTTGGGCATGTGCCCTGACTGGGAATCAAACCAGGACCTCTCAGTCGATGGGAGAAAGCTCAATCCACTGAACCACACCAGCTAGGCCAGGTGTACCTCTTTTTTTTTTTTAATCCTCACCAGAGGATACTTTTCCATTTATCTTCAGATACAGTGGAAGGGAGGGAGAGAGAGAGAGAGAAAAACACTGATGTGAGACACATCGATTGGTAGCCTGCAGCACGACCAGGGCTGGGACCGAATGGCAACTGTGCCCTTGACCAGAATCGAACCTGTGACTTTTTGGTCCGTGGGCAGATGCTCCAACCACTGAGCCAAACTGGCCAGGGCGGGTGTACCTTTTTTTTTTAATTAAAAAAATTCAAACCCTTCAATAGGAAATCAGACTATTCTCATTAGACATTGTAAACAGAGTAGTCACTGATTATTTCTGGCATAAAAGGTAACATACTACCTCTGCACTCGGTACACTCGAGTCCATGGAGGCACAAGGGCAAGGATCCGAGCCACCAATTCGATCAGGTCGCTAGGAGAATAACTCTTATATCTTCCTGATTTCCACAGCTCATAAAGGCCAGTTCCACGAATCACCAGGGTAGGGTAAAGTTTTAAACCATCAGGACGAAAAGCAGGGTTCTCAAAAAACTCCTGTGAACAGAGAGAACAGAAAATTACTTTCCCACTAGTTATGTAGAGATTAGACATGCAAAGTTTCAAATTTGGGTCAGTTTCTCTCACATACCTACCTGGTACTTACAATGTCTTTCCTTCCTATCAAGGGAGGGGATGCAGACAGAACAGAAATTCATTGTGTTTTTTCGCACAACCCCCACCAGGGCCAGCGACGAATCACAACCAAGGTACATGCCCTTGACCAGAATCGAACCGCGACCCATTGGTCCCTGGGCCGATGCTCCATCCGCTGAGCCAAACCGGCCAGGGCAGAAATTCATTGTTTCATACAATTTTACCTGCATGGCCTCATTGGGACAAAGCAAGTGTCTGCTGGATTACAGAGCCCTCACCACAGCCCATCTATGGCTGCAATCTCACCTCACGCCACTCTGCCCACCCTGCCCTCCTGCCTCTGCCTGGAAAGTTCATCAATTTCTCTTCATCTAGCTAATCTTCAGGCCTCAGCTTAAATGTCAATTCTTCAGAGAGGCCTTCTTGACCTTCAAATATAAACTGTCTGACTTAAAAAAATCTTACTGAATTCTGTATTTCTGCTTTAACAACATCATACTGACAATTTATCCAGTGCTTACCTTCACCTCTAGACTGTATTGTCTTTTAATAACAAAACATATTATTTAAACTTTAAAAAATCTGTGACAGAGATCATCACCTGGCCTGCAAAACTGTTTACTATATGGCCTTATGCAGAAAGTGTACCAATCCCTGGATATGACTATTTTGTCCTCAGACCAACTGGCACCATTCCTAACCTGGGATACACACTGTCCATTTGTTAACTGGACACTGAGCAATACATCTAATTCATCTACTTTGACACAGTCATTTCCTGTACTATATTATCCCAGCTGGCTGCCTTATTTCTTCACTTGGGATGTAGCAGGAAGACATAAGGCATTCTCCTTTCCATGACTTTGCACTGCTAATTTGTTCTTATCTAGATTTTGCAAGACAGACGATGAAGGAATGAAGGTGGACTCATACAGTTCCCTTCACCCCGACCCTGGCACTAGCATCTATTCAGCCAGTAGTACTGTATCTTCTGAACTGTAAAAATGCTTTCTATCTTGTGCTATGTTATTCTTGCAGAGCTATCCATTATTTAACTTGCTTTACAAAGAAATGTAACTGTAGACTATTTGATCTCTCTCACTGATTCGTCATATTCTTAAAATGCTGTATTCTTTGTGCACAATTTGGTCTTAAAGATACTCCCCTGTAACATTTATATATGAAAAATTCATCAGGTCTTTAATAAATAGTCTATTGCCATCCACAAAGAGCATGTATACAAGTCATTCCCTTCCTAGCTCAAATCCTTATCAGAACATGGGATTTCAGAAAAGTATTTCTGATACTTGCATAATGAATTTGGGAGACACATGGGCTGACATTCTCCTTTAAAAAGAATGATGATAGGTGATATTGGTTCTGGACATCTGGTTAAAAAGTCAGAATTAAAATATGTGTTTCTTTCCTTCCCAAACTATGATAAAAATTTTAAATTGAGTTTAGAGAAAGGAGTGGGGGGGGGGGGGCGGCGCAAACATCTATCGGCTGCCTCCCACATACTCCCCAGTTGGGGATCAAACCTGCAACCTGGGTATGTGCCCTAACGGGCAATTGAACCCACCACCTTTGGTGTATGGGATGATGCTCCAACCTGAGCTGCACAGGCCAGGGCCTTCCAAAACCATGCTAAAACAACAGGAAATAATAATTTTTTTTTAAAGTACAAATCTAGAATAGAGAACATCAGAGGAGACAGGAGGGGAACAGGTGATGGCAATAAATTTCTGAAAGACAAAATATGGATGAAAGACTGGTAAATGACTTTGCAAGTGATGAAAAGGGCAAATCGAGTATTTGTAAAGGGGGACAGATACCGATGAAAGGCCAGCTCAGTCACACCAGAGTCCCAGGAAAGTTCATGGATCACAAGTACCAGGAACTGGGCAGGGTGGAGAGAACACTAGATCAAAATCTGTACATGAGGGGATTTATCTCTTTCCTTATTCCTTATCACCTTCCTACAGGCAGTCACTTGCCTGATTTTTTGTGGGAAAAACTAGAAAACCGATGGACTCTGAAATTCCAGGTACAAAGAAAGGCCTGTGTGAGGACCAAGAGTGAAAACGGGGAGAGTAAGTGAAGGCCAGCACACTGACTAGTGGACGCCCTGCCTGCAATTTTCTGTGATGTACATACACACACCACCCACCACCCCCAAACAGGAAGTTGAAGAGTTCATCTCTGGATCAATTAAATGGCTCTGACCAAAAAAGGAGAATACATTACATGAACATCCTTCCGTGAGGTATACCAGCAGCTAGCCACAGAGAGCTTGCAATCTGGCTCTTAAGCTCCTCACTTTTTATTTTTTAAATCCTCACTCTAGGATATTTTTCTATTTATCTTCAGATAGAGTAGGAGAGAGAAAGAGGGAGAGAGAGAGAAACATCAATGTGAAAGGGACACATCGACTGGATGCCTCCTACAAGACCGCAACCAGGGCTGGGGACAAACCGCAACTGAAGTGCATGCCCTTGGCTGGAATCGAACCAGAGACTCACTGTTCCGCAGGCCGACGCTCTACCACTGAGCCGAATCGGCCAGGGCTGAGCTCCTCACTTTTAAAGTATGACCATTTGGCTAAGGATCACTAGAAACTAGAAGAAAGCCTAGAACATAAAAAACAGACCAAAACAAAAAGATAAAAAAGAACTGGGAAAGCGAGGCATTGCATAAAGGAAAATAAAACTTAAAAAAAACAACTATAATTAATTCCATCAGAGAGATAAGATGACACATTAATCCACAAAACAAGAACAAGATAGTAGAGAAAAATCAAACAGCCAGAATATAAGAAAGAACTCTTAGAAATTAAAACCATAACAAAAATAAAAACATTTAATAGAAAGATAAAGGTGAGAAAATAATAAAGAAGCAGGAAAAAAAGGCAGATAAAACTAGAAAAGAATTTTACATAATTAGTCTGGGAGATCCAACATTTGCTTAATAGGTTTTAGAAAGAGAACATAAAAAAAGAAAGGGAGAAAATGATCCTGTACAGTTGGCTCTGGTATCCAAGGATTCTGAATCCACGGATTGAAAATATTCAGGGGGGAAAAACGTTATGTTGTTACTGTGTAGTTAGGCCTATAATGGTTGACTTCTTCTTGTCATTATTCCTTAAACAATGCAATATAACAACTATTTTCATAGCACTTACACTGTATTAGGTATTATGTGTAATTTTGAGATGATTTAAAGTATAAGAGGGTGTGTGTATGTTATATACAAATACCACACCATTTTATATAATGGACTTGAGCATCTGCAGATTTTCTTATCTAGAGGGGTTCCTTAAACCAATCACCCCAGAGTACCAAGGGACCACTGTAGTACAAAGAAATTTCCAGGATGACAGGGTCCTTTAATGTTGAACATGATTTAAAAACTCTTGTCAAGATATACCTCTGTAAAATTGCACTACATATGGGACAAAGAGAATTTCCAAAAATATTCACATGAATATTATATACATTCATTATAGGATTAAAGAATAAGAAATAAAGGTTTAAGAATTTTATACACACACGCGCGCGTGCGCGCACACACACACACATTTTTTTTAAACATAGGTTTGCTAGCTATCTGAATATCCTATTTGTGAAGTACCTATTCAAGTTTTTTTTTGCCCATTGTCCTACTGGACTATCTTCTTTTTCTAACTGATTTGTAGAAGTTATTTACTTTAAGGCAATTTATAAGTAATTTTGCAGAAAATTTTTCTTCAGAGAGAAATCAGATTTCTTATTTTAGCTCTCTTTTGTCACTCATTTGCTAGGATGTAGTTAGTTAGAAGAGGCATACAGTCTGCTCATATTCCCTGTGGGTTTCTCTTAAAAGATTATAAACAAGCAGATAAATCTATTTCCATGAAGGGATGTCTTTGCAATATTATTATCAAACTATTCTTTAAAGGAGTTCCCTGTTATCTGTGATTTCACTTTCCACGGTTTTAGTTACTCATAGTCTGAAATTTTTTTTTTATTTTTATTTTTTTTATCCTCACCCGAGGATATTTTTCCATTTTTTGTACAGATAGAGTGGGAGGGAGAGAGAGGAAGGGAGAGAGAGAGAGAAACATCGACGTGAAGGGACACATCGAGTGGCTGCCACCCGCACGACCAACCAGGGCCGGGGACAAACTGCAACCGAAGTACGTGCCCTTAGCGGGAACCAAACCCGGGTCTCTCCGGACTGCAGGCCGACGCTCTAACCGCTGAGCCAAACTGGCCAGGGCCATAGTCTGAAATTTTAATGGTCTGAAAATATTAAGTGAAAAATTCCACAAAACAATTCAAAAGTTTTAAACTGCTCGTCGTTCTGAGTACTGTGATGGTATCTCTCACCCAGCCATGACCCATCCCCTGTCCAGTGTATCCACTGTATACACTACACTCCCATTAGTCACTTACTGGCCGTCTCAGTTATCAGATCGACTGTCAGGTATTACAGTGCTTGTGTTCAAGTCATCCCTATTTTACTTAACAATGGCCCCAAAGTGCAAGAGTAGTGATGCTGGCAATTAGTAGTGATGCTGGCAATTAGGATGTGCCAAGAAGCCACCGTAAAGTTCCGTTATATGAAAGGTGAAAAGTTCTCGACTTAGTAAGGAAAGAAAAATAATCGTAAGCTGAGGATGACAAGACCTGTGGTAAGAATGAATTTTCTATCCATAAAATTGTAAAGAAGGAAAACATCTGTGCTAGTTTTGCTGTTGCACCTCATACTGAAAAAGTTATGGCCACAGTGTATGATAAGTGCTTAGTAAAGATGGAAAAGGCACTAAATTTGTGGGTAGAAGATATAAACAAAATGACAGCAATATGTTGTGTCAGAGAGCATTAAGCCTATACAAAGCTCTGGCTGGTGTGGCTTAGTTGGTTAGAGTGTCATCCTGTGCTTGGAAGAGTCTTGGGTTTGATTCCCAGTCAGGGCTCATACCCAGGTTGTGGGTTTGATCCCCAGTCAGGATGCATATAGGAAGCAACTGATCGATGTTTCTCTCTCACATCGGTATTTCTCTTTTTTTCTCTCTCCCTTCCCTCTCTCTAGAATCAATGAAAAACATATATCCTTGGGTGAAGATTAAAAAAAAAAAAGATTAATTCACATGACTTTTATTACAGCATATTGCTATAATTGTTCTATTTTATTATTAGTTATTGTTAATCTCTTACTGTGCCCAATTTATAAACTAAATGTTATCATAGGGTCCAGCCAGTATGGCTCAGTGGTTGAGCGTCAGTCCATGCACCAAGAAGTTACTGGTCCGATTCCCGGTCAGAGCACATGCCCAGGTGGTGGGCCCGATCCCCAGTGGGGAGCGTGCAGGAGGTGGCCAACTGATATTCTCTCTCATCGATGTTTCTATCTCTCTCTCCCTCTTACTTCCTCTCTCTATAAAATCAATAAAGGAAAACAAAACAAAACTTTATCATAGGTATGTATGTATGTGAAAAAACATAGTATATATAGGGTTTAGTACTTATGGTCTTGGAACGTACCCCTCATGAATAAGGGGAAACACTATATTTTGAAGACACTAAGAAAAAAGAACACTGAGACTCAGCCATTTGCTATTACTTGAAACACCACATATTTTTTCCCAAGGCATGTAAAGTTATGAATGCTGGCTCTACCACTGGTACACCTAGGAGCTGTGTTAAAGAAAAGCGTGTTTGAGGTGCCCTTTAGGCTTGGAGTCTGAATTCCTGGTTATTAACTACTGAAGGGATATCAGCCTCAAAATCTATTACACAGCCAATATGGGGGAATCACTGACAGGGACATCTGTGAATTAATGCTGTCTTACAAACAGGCCTTCTGTTGTAATTCATTGGCTTAAAAATAATACACTTTTTTAAAGGAAATAATTATTAACTTCACAAATAAGGCATGGTGTATTCCATCCTTTATAAACAGAGCAAAATAAAAGTATTTCCATAGATAAAATAACTTGAAATTTTTATCATCTTCTCTAAAAGGATATCCCTAAGACACATTTCTTATCTGAGAATCTGAAGAAAAGTTTCGACCAATCTCATTTCCCAAAACAAAGCTAAATGGATTAAGTTTACACGTGACAGAGTAAAAAAAAACCCCAAATCCCAGAATTAGGTATTGAAATTCAAAGAACAGAAAGGGTAAAAGAAAGCAGATTTTCTTTCACTGATTAACAAAATTCTGGAAAAGAAAGGCAGTTCCAAGCTTAGAAGCACCTGAAGAATCATCAAGCAGGAAAAGAGATTTGAAACAGGAGCAAAGTAAAAGGTCAAAGACAGGTTGAGGAAATATTTGTAACAAATAAAAACCAATAAAGCCATAATGTCCTTACCTAGCTGTTCATATAAATTGATATTTAAAATACTTATATCCAAAAGAGTAACTGGTCAGAGAATCCAAAAAGAATTATAATTATTTAATATAAACGTGAAAAACATATTACTATTATTATAAAATGCAAGTTGAAATGGCACTTTTATCCACCCAATTAGCAAATATAAAAATATTTTATGTATGTATACATATAGCAAATACATAAACAGGAGAGAATTGTTTGGGGGGAAAGATAACCCTGCTGAAATGAGTGTAAACTGTTACAACCCTCTGAAAAGCAAGTAAGTAATATGATGAGACTCTGAAAGTATTTATACTTTTGCCTCATAATTCTACCCCAGAGAATTCATCCTAAAGAAATAACCCTAAATCATATATAAAACTATGTCTGTGTGTATACATGTATAAATCACCTAATTCACAGTCCAAAAAAGCCTAAGCATAACAAAATCCTAAAAGGGAGTAAATTGAAATGTTAGGATTTTAGTTGGTGTTGGACTGTGAGTGACACCTCTTTCTCTACTGTTTCCACTACTCTCTGATGAGAGTGCATTGCTTTAATCATGGGAGAACCAACAGTCAATAATCAAAAGGAGCAGAGAGGGTGCATCAGCGTGCAGAGACATTCGAAATTAGCTGGTTTAAGGGAACACTCACTGTAAACTGCTCAATGTCCCTCTCGAGTCCCACATTTGGCAGATCCGGCATCATATGAGCCACAACTTTGAAACCGGAGTCTTTGGCCAGGTGAAAGGACTCACATACTGCCTTCACAGTGTGGCCCCTGAGGAGAGAAAACCCACCACGTGTTACTCAAAGAAACAGGCAACAAGGTTAACACAAGGAACACAGGGGAAAAAAACTGACAGGTAATGAAAAATAATATGGTTGGGGAAAAAAAAAATCTCAGAAAGTCTTATTTACATAACCTCTGAGAAAGTCTGGAAGCAAATAATTTTTACTTCTTTTTTTAAAAGACTTTTTTAAAAAATTGATCTGAGAGAGAGAGAAAGGGAGGGAGAGAGGAAGACAGGAAAAAAGGGAGAGAGGGCAGGGAAAAGAGGAAGAGACAGACAGAAACATCGATTTGTTGTTCCACTTATTTATGCATTCATTGGCTGATTCTTGTTTGTGCCCTGACCAGGGATCGAACCTGCAATCTTGGCATACTGCGACAACAGTCTAACCAACTGAGTACCCGGCAGGGCCTCATTTCCACTTCTGGGATATTTCTCAGAAATTCCCTTATGCACCTAAAGTTCTGACACTAAAACTATTTGGTTTAGCATCATCAGGCAAAATAAGCTTACTAATGTAAATATCTAAGTTAGAAACCAGATTAATGAGCTCAAAACCATGCAGAAGCAGCATCCTATTATTTTCTTTCCTTTTAAAATCTTTTGAAATGAGAGTGAGGGAGGAGGAGAGAGGAAGAGATGAGACGGAGACACCCCCCCCCACACACATATACAGAACAGATTTCACTCTGGTGGGTTGGAGGCTCCTTAAAAAAGTGAGAAGACAGTGATCCAGTGACAAGGAGGAATCACCTGGGGCTGTCTGGATAAATCATCTTAACATTCTAGCTCCACACGCGAGTAGGAAGTAAGCCCTGCTAAGAGTCTGGGGCTGCTGGAGACCAAAGCCGCGTCAGCCCTCTCATCACCAAGCACGGGCGCTTTCACCACTAAACGATCCAGGAGACCATGGGCTCCGTCCATCGCACTCTCTGATGTTCTCATCCATGTCCATGGCTTCAATTTGTAATCTCTTTTTTGCTAATAACCTCCCAATGTATGTGACCAGGCCAGGCCTCTCTCCTGATACGGCACCCAGATATCCAGTACTCCAAAGGTGCACTGTGTAATGCTGCAGTTCACTAGGGACATGTGGCTATTCACGTTTATACTTAAATTCATTAAAATGAAAAATTCAGTTCCTCAGCTGTGCTATCATATTGGGGAATGCAGGTATAAAACTTTCAATCACTGCAGAATGTTCTGTTGGACAGCCTTGCTCTAAAACAAACCTTCAGCCCTGGCCGGTTTGGCGCAGCAGTTAGAGCGTCGGACTACGGTCCAGAGAGACCCGAGTTTGGTTCCCGCTAAGGGCGTGTACCTCGGCTGCAGTTTGTCCCCAGCCCTGGTTGGTCATGCGGGTGGCAGCCACTCGATGTGTCTCTTTCATGTCGATGTTTCTCTCTCTTCCTCTCTTTCCCCTCCCATTCCATCTGAACAAAAAATGGAAAAGTATCCTCGGGTGAGGATAAAAAAATAAATAAATAAAATAAATAAAATTAAACAAACCTTCAACTGGATGTTCCACAAGTAATCTAAACCTCAGTATATGTAAAATAAAACTCATCTTCCCTCCAAGCCTCCTCCTCTTCCCATTTTCTCTTACCTCATTTCCACTCAGCCACCAAACAGTCATCACTTTTCAGGGCATCATTTCTTGCTTAAATTTACTGCAACAGCCTCTTAATTCGTCTTCCTTCTAGCCTGTTTTCCTTAATCCATCCCCATACTGTGCTCGCCATAAAGTGATCTTTCTAAAATGCAGATACACTCACATCACAATTTAGCTCACAACTCATCCTTAGATTAAAGCCCAAACTCCCTGGCCTGACTTCTAAGGCCCCCCATCATCTGGCCCCCCTACCTACCTTTTCAGCCTCACCTCCTACTCCTTTCCTACCTCATGCTCTACACCTCTAACTAAACTACACAACGCCAAAGTCCCTAAATGTGCCACATGCTCCCATCCTTGGCAGTCTGCTCATATTTTTTTTCTGCCTGAAACAATTTTCCTCTTCCCACCTAACTCACACTCTTCCTGTAAGTTAGATGTCATTTTCTTCAGAAAGCTCCCCTAACTTTCAAGAGACTTTTCATCTCTGAAGGTACCTTCTAGCACAGCCCTTCACTCCTCCTCTTGGTTAGTCTTCCCCTACAAGAATGCATTCTATTGAGGTTAATCTTTCTCAAGCCTGATACCCATCAGATTCTTCCCCGGGCTCAAAAATATCCAACAGACCTCTATTACCTACAGGAAAGCGCCCACCCTCCTTAGCCTGGCATTCTTCTTAGTTGATACTATGATGCTGATCACATATCTCCCTAGTTCCCCTTTTACTTCCCTCTCCCAGCGCAACCCCCAATCACGTCTACACAAATTCTATTTGAGTGGCCTTTAAGGTCCAACTCAAAACAAACCTACTCCCTGACGTCTGCTTTCACCACCCTAGGCGAATGATCAATGCTGTTTAATAAACTCTTAAAATGTGTTTTTACTAATTTACCAATTAATCACAAAGTTCCTTATACAGCCAACCTTTGGTGTGTCTTTTCTCAACTCAGTGATATAATTCTAGAGGAAAGAGAACCTCACATGGTTCTATCAACCTATATTTCTTTCCTTCCTTATACCCCCAATTTTCTCAAAGTTTATACCCATTGTCTCACCAATCTCTCTCTCACTACCCTGTCAACTGGCATCTGCTTCACAAAAACTAATCTTTTAAATATCACCCTGACTTCCTTCCTGTTCAAACTCTTTTCTTTGTCCCCATTCTACTTTGCCTTCTCTTTTGCTTTAAACTACTGACTCTGAGACCTGCCTTCTGCTTATCATTTGGAAAAGGCTGTTTATGAAAAGACTAGGAAGAGATACAATAAGCATGTGTCTAGGCAACTAGAAAGAGCCAGGAGAGAAAGACTGAAAATCAAGGAAAGAGGGGATGGAATTAAGAGCACAGATAGAAGAATGACTCCAAAAGGAGGATTACCTAAACCTATTTCTCTCAGAGTGTGGGAAGAAGGGAAAAATGAGTATGAACATAGACATAACTGGTGGGAGCAGGGAAAGGCTGTGCGAGATCATGTGTCACCATCTTACCTGTTGGTATCTCTGGCCACATCTTCGTAGACACTCTGCACCCCAATCTCCAGCCTTGTACAGCCATAGGTCAACATGTCACTTAAATGCCGCTTCATGCAATAGTCAGGTCTGGTCTCAATAGTTATTCCAATACACTTTGTGAGGCTCCTCTCAGAATACCTGTGGAGCAAATAAAAAAGTAAACAACCTGCCCCAGCTTTAGGATATTTGCTTCCATTTACAGGATTGTCTTCTCTTTGTTCTCCCAATATAAGACAGTGGTTAAGAGAATGGGCTTTGGAGTCAGACTGTATGGATTCAAATCCTGGCTCTGCTACTTCTTAACTATGCAAACAGGAATGTTGTTAACCTCTCTGTGCTTCAGTTTTATTATCTGCAAAATGAGGATAACAGAACCTACGCCTCAGAGAACTGACGTGACTGAACTAGCATATAGTAATGTTATCATCACTATCATTGTTCTTCTTCTGCTACAACCATAATCTCCATGAAAGCAGTGACTTCAACTGCCAAAATCCTATTTTTCAATTCCTAGCAACAATTTTTCATGTAAGTGAAAACCTTTTGCATTATTTATTTCCCATTCTATATTTTTATCATGTTAAATTAAAAAAGGAAGGGGGTACGTATAATAATCATAGGAATAATTTAGGTGAAATATCTTCTACATACAAAGAAAAGTCTTTCTGCCAAGCCTATTAATCTTAGCAATGATTTACAAAATTAGGAATCTTTTTTCCTCTTTCACTAAAACCACATATCAGAGTAGTAAGTGCCATTTAGATTCAAGCTGTATATACACTGAATGCTCCCATTAGTTCTATGAAGTTTGTCTTATTATCTCTATTTTACAGATGAAGAAACTGAAATTCAAAGGGATAAAATACATTGTCCATGGGTACACAGTTCATAAAATCCAAGTTAAGATTTGAAGTTGGGTCTGACTTCAAAATCCTTGCTCTCTATTTCATTTTGTTTTTTTAATCCTCACTAAAGGATATGTTTTCTTTTTCAGTTGATTTAAGAGAAAAAGGGACAGGGAGAAACAGCAATGTGAGAGAGAAACATCAATCGGTTGCTTCCTGCATGCGCCCCAACTGGGGATTGAACACACAACCTAGGTACATGCCCTGACCAGGAATCGAACCTGCAACCTTTCAGTGTACGGGATGACACTCCATCCAGCTAAGCCACTGGACAAGGACAATTGTATCAGATTTCTCTCCTTTTCAAGTTCTCTAATGCCCTAGAACCCAATACCATGATGCACCCTTCTTCAACTCTCCCAATTCTTTGGGGAGAGTGAGGAAAGCCTTTTTTGTACCATTAAATTTAATTTCCTTCTTTTTAAAGAAGATCATTGCTCTTTCTTGAAAAGTAAAAATCATAAAATTTCCATAATTTGTGACTACTCCTTTAGGTACATTCCTTTATTGTCGATAAAAAGTGACGTATGTAGTGTTAATGTTAATAACTATTAAGAAAATCAAGAACCACAGAACTGGAAGATTAATCTGAAGTCTACCACTGTAGACATTCAAACTCTTTTGTACTGTTTATTACTGTATTCTATATGGCAGTGGTTCTCAACCTTCCTAATGCCACGACCCTTTAATACAGTTCCTCATGCTGTGGTGACTCCCAACCATAAAATTATTTTTGTTGCTACTTCATAACTGTAATTTTGCTACTGTTATGTCTTAGGCGACCCCTGTGAAAGGGTCGCGACCCCCAGGCTGAGAACTACTGCTCTATGGTCTTGTATAGGATTATAGAAGCAGTAAGACTAGAGGTAACAACTAGTCCAAGAATCATAAGACAGAAAAACGGCTCAGATTTTATCAAAGATTCTAAGAAAGAATACCAAATCATTTCTCTGAAACAACTGAATCAGAAAGTCCCATGCCTCTCAAATAAGTGGGCACCAAGGCCTGCTATAACACAGGTATGTAATGCCATACGACAAATGTAACTCACATTCTTTAACTATCAATTATAGTTTTTGGGGAAAAAAAATTTTTTTTTTCAAATTAAAACAAACACATGTGGAGAAAGCAAACTGCATGAAGATGAAAAAAAACACAAAAAGCATAAAACTCTGAGTATATTTAATTATGTAATGAGGATATCTTAGAATCAGACATTCCAAAATCGTTATCATAAATCTTTCTATTAATCAATATTTGTATTTACTTATTTATTTTTAATCCTCACCCGAGGATATTTTTCTACTTATCTTCAGATAGAGAGGGAGGAAGGGAGAGAGAAGGAGAGAGGGAGGGAGGGGGAGAGGGGAAGAGAGACAAAGAGACACACACACACATGGATGTGAGAGACACATTGACGGTTGCCTCCTGCAGGACCCTGATCAGGGCCAGAGGAACCACAACCAAGGCACATGCCCTCGACAGGGAATCGAACCCACAACTCAATGGTCCACGGGCCAACACTCCAACCTCTGAGCCAAACCAGCCAGGGCTTAATCAATATTTTTACATTTATCTTTATTGTTGAGAGTATTACAGATGCCCCCCCCTTTCCCCTTGCCCCTCTCCTCCCAATTCCTGCCCTGCCCCAGGCCTTCACCACCCTATTCTCTGTGTCCATTGGTTACGCTTATATACATATAAATTCTTTGGTTAAACTCTTCCCACCCCCTCTCCCCCCTTCCCTGTGAGATTCCTCAGTCTGTTCCATGTTTCCATGCCTCAGGTTCTATTTTATTCATCAGTTTATTTTGTTCATTAGATTCCATAATGTGAGATCATGTGGGCCTACAGTATTTCTTAAAGGGTGTCATTAAGTTAGCAAGCTAAGCAGCACAGGAGTACATTGCACCACCAGGAAAAAAACTAGAGGGTGGGCAATCGCACAAATGGGAATTTGTTTAGAAGAAAGAGAAAATTCACTAGCTAATCTTTCTATTGCACAGCTTGTCAAAGGCCCGACCAAGACATAGAGAAAGCTGCTGCAAGGATGATAAGGTCTCTTCATAAGCAGACAGAATGTAGTATAGGACATAGAGGCAAATCTTATTCTCAGACAACAATTTAAGTCCATTTCAAAAATGTCTTTCTTCTGGGAGGAAATATCATTACCTTTTGCAGGAGCAGAAAAGAACAAATAAAAAATAATTCAAGTTTTAAAAAGCCAATATTTTATTTAAACGGCTTTTACCACTATCTTCTTTTCAGAATTTTATTTTCATTTGAAAAGCAATAAGCAGAAATTCTTATCAAATTTGATGTCAAAAACAATGGAGTATTTTCCTAAAGAACAAAGTATAGGTCAGCTTTCCTATAAGATCACTGTATTTTTATTAGAATTTTTTTTATTAATGTTATATTTAGTCCTACATATCACTGAATCTGCCTCTTCTTTTAACAGCGATATAGAGATATCAATGATCGTTAACATGCAAATATATGCATATAGGTTTTTGACTTCTCTAAGAAAAATATTACAGCTGACATTTTATGGCATCCTATAATCCTCCAAATAACTTAGGCAGTCATTCAACAGTATGGCTACCCTTAGGATGTAGTTCAACACCCACACCTTCCAGGGGCCACAGACTTCTTAAGTTCTTGGGCATCTAGGAAATATGCCAAATATTTTCCAACCCTGACCATAAACTTCCGAGAGACAAAGTCAGGACTTGTACCCACGTCTTCTGATTCCAATTTTACTGCTCTTTTTGGGGGTAGTACAGGGTCTTAAAAGCCTCTACTGCACAGAGTGGGACTATGCTGAATGCCACACTTTTCTGTATGCCGTAGGAGGGGCACCAACTATAAAAAATGTTAATGTCCTCTGCAAAGCATAACTTAAGCCAATAGCTTATGTTGACAACAATTTTTACAAGGAGGGTGCAGGGGGATTAGGCAATGACCTGAAAATTTAAAAGTAAGCAAAAATCAAATGCTACCCAACCTTCAAAACATAGCACAAATACACTTCTCCTCCCATGACACCTTCCTACCACCTCTCAGTAACAACTCTGCTCCCATTCCCAAAGCACTTGGCCCACACTAGAAATACAGCTTGACTTGTTATTTGTGCATATGCCTGTCTCTCCATTTTGACAGGAAGCTCCTGAAAGGCAGTATAAGCTCAAACCCATTTAAAGGTAACTGCTTAAGGGCGTGTATATATATATATATACATATATATATAAAAATACATATTTTATATATATATATATAAATATATGAAGAATGAACACATGAATTAGGCATAACTGAGGACAAAGGAAATCTCTTCACTCCCGGAGCAGCCTCTAGTAACTCCAATGCTTACCTCTCATCTTGCAAACAATCAACCCTAGACGATACCTATAGCACTAGGTTGGTATGCCACAGGAAGTAACACAACAGTGCTTGTCCCAGACATGCCTGACAATCTAGCTGCAGGGATAAGACACACAGATTAAAAACAAGGCCCACTTAAGTACAAAGCTAGAGGTGGGAGAAATAAAAATGAATATAGATTATTTTCTGGGAAGCATACTTCTATTACAGAAAGGAAAAAAGTGGCCTCTACAAGTGATTTTACTGTCTTCTTGTTCTAAGGGACACAAGAAATACTGCACATCGATTGTTTAGTCTCTTTATAATCGTCTGGAACCTGTTTTTTATTCACTCCAAGAAGTCTGTGGCAGGCATCAAGAACACTTCTTATTACTATCAATATGCTGCAGTTCCTCTTTAAAAACCTGGATGTGCCCTGGCTGGTTTGGCTCAGCGGTTAGAGCATCGGCCTGTGGACCAGAGAGTCCTGGGTTTGGTTCCTGCTAAGGGCACGTACCTAGGTTGCAATGTGTCCCCAGCCCCAGTTGGGGTCATGTGGGTGGCAACCACTTGATGTATCTCTCTCACATCGATGTTTCTCTCAAATCCATGTTTCTTTCTTTCTCTCTCTTCCCCACTTCTCTCCAGATCTATCTGGAGAGAAATACAAAAATGTCCTCGGATGAGGATAAAAAACTAAAATAAATAAATAAATAAATAACCTGGAGCCCTGGCCGGTTTGGCTCAGCGGTTAGAGCCGTCGGCCTGCGGTCCAGAGAGACCCAGGTTCGGTTCCCGCTAAGGGCATGTACCTCAGTTTCAGTTTGTCCCCGGCCCTGGTTGGGTGGTGCGGGAGGCAGCCACTCGATG